CCAATCTTGCATTTCTGAGATGACACCAAGTTGGTCATTCTACATGGTCTTAATGTGTTCTTGAGTTTGATTTGCAAGCATTTTATTGAGAATTGGTTTTGATATCAGAGTAACAACAGATCCTGGAATAAGTTAGGTAGTGTTCTTTCTCTTTCTGTTTTATGGAACAGTTTGAAGAGCACTGGTGTTAGTTTTTCTTCTTGGGCTTATGGACACTGAGTCTGTCTATTCTTTTTCTTTTTGGGGAGACTTGTAATTACTGCTTCAATCTCATTGTTATGATTGATCTGCTTAAGTTTTTAAAACCCTCTAAATTTTGCTAGATCATATGTGTTTGGGAATTTATACATTTCTTCTAGGGGTTCCAGTATTTATTGAATAGAAGTTTTCGAAGTATTCTGTAATAATCCTCTGGATTTCACTGGGATCTATGCTGTAATGTCCCCTTTTCATTTCTTCCTTTCTCTTTCCTTTGGTTAGTTTATCTAGAAACTTATCAATCTTACTTACCTTTTCAAAGAATCATCTTTTTATTTGATTGATTATATGTAATGTTATTTTAGTCTCCATTAATTTTTCCCTTTATCTGGCAGTCCTACCCTTAGGACAAGCCCACAGCCCTCAGTTGCAGACTTTGATGAGACAGTGATTCCTTAGATGGAAGAGCCAGCATTGGAGAAGAATCCCATTGTTTCATTCTGTGATACTCCCACAGCCTGCTGGGCATCATTCTGAGAGGGAACCTATTGGTTAAAATGGAGCTACTTCAGAGGCCCCAGAACAGGAGACCACTGAGAGTCAGAGATTATTAATTTGATCTGCCATAGCACCAAAGTGAGAGGCATTAGGAAGCAGATGCAGATGCCATGATGAGACAAAGGGAGCAAGAGCAAGAGCGAGAGAGCGAGAGTGAGCGAGCACGCGCGAGAGAGTATGAATGCCGAGTGCTGGGACTAAAGGAGTGCGCCACCACGCCTGGCGGAGACTTTTAACCTCCATTTTACAAAGGGAAAAGAACAGAGCACTGGGAATTCCTAGGTAGGCATGGGGATCTGGATTTGGCCACATTGTTGAGTATTTTAAAAAGTTTATGAAAAAAGGTAAAAATCAGAAGATATCTTGATAGTTTTATATTTTCCATATGTGACTCTCATTTGAAGTTCTTATCACATAATAATGGGGTGATGTTTACTGTGGTTGGGAAAGTGTAATTAAGAAATCTGCCTCTCAGAAAAGAAAAGCGGAGTAGGACTGGACGCCCCGCCTGTCTTAGTGGGATTAGTCCTCATATTACAGTCTTTGTTTTCCTTGGGCAAGCTAGAATTCAAGACATTGATTCAAATATGGTTCTTATTTCTTTCGTGGTGAATAAAACATTTAAAAAGACAATCTGGATCCTATTTTGACACCAATGCTTGTGATTATAGCAGGATTTCCTTTTTTTCAGGGGCAGGGAGTAGGCAGTCTGTAATGTGAGCTAATTCTTCGTTTCTTCAGGCTCAGGTCAACCTGGAAATTCTATATGCTTAACTCTGAATTGCCTGCCATGCATTGCAGATGGAAACAGTGTGGATAATTTTGGACTAACCTATTTTGTATGACATATTGCCACTGTTGTGACTGTGAATTTGTGCCTGTGTGTGTGTGTGTGTGTGTGTGTGTGTGTGTATATCTCATGTTATGTGAGATTCCACCCCTTCATTAAGCTTTTTGTATTTTTTAATATTTTATGTGTATGAGTGTATTGCCTGAATGTATGTGAGTGCATCCATGTCATGCAATGCCACGGAGTTCAGAAGAGGACTTCGGATTCCTCTGGAACTGGAGTTAAGGACGGTTTGTAGCTGCCATGTGGGTGCCAGGAATTGAACCCGGGTCCTCTGCAAGAGCAATCAGTGCTTTTAACCACTGAACCATCTCTCCAGCCCCCAGCTTTTTATATTTTATCAGTGTTAGGAGTAAATGGCCGCAGACCTCCTAGATAGACTTTCTGTGCCCTGACTCAGACCCTGGGGCAACGATAACTAAAAGTTCACTCTGGTTTTCCTAAATCATCCCCTCTTGCATTTATTTTTTTCGTTCTCATCTTTTTCTAGGCTATTGGCTTATATTCCACAAATGAGAAACCAGATAAAAAATAATGCTAGGGGTGACTGAAATAAAGGTGGATTAGTAAGGTGGGGATTGAGTAGCACGGGTGTTCACATGAGCTCACTGGCTCACTGCCTTTTAAGGCTGGCTAATTTGGTCTTTCCTTTCTATGGTTCTCTCTAGGCAATAGGGTTCCTTTGGGACAAAGTTGTGGCTTTTTTTTCCCTTTCTTTCAAAAGAAAGAAATTATTTTCCAGTGTAGTCCAGGACTGAAACTTAACTTGGAACCCTTGATGTAGACAGGATGCAACGTCTTTCATTTGGGGGAATTTACTAAGAGCTGACCCATCCTTTAGAGTATGGATGTCTAACCTCTTGGCTTCTCTGGGCTACAATGGATGAAGAATAGTCTTGGAACATACATTAAATACAAAAACAACAAAAGCTTATGAGAAAAGCTTAAATGAAATATTATGAGAAAAAAGGTATGTGTAGTTTTTGTAGTATTTACTACCACAGGTAAGCAGAAAATCCTTCCTATAATAATCCTAATTATGTGGCTCCACTTCAGAGTCTTGTAAAAATCATTGAAACCTTCAATTCATGATTACTAACAAGAAAAAGAACCCATCTAAGTGACAAACTTCATTTACTATAAAAGCAAAAGAGGGTAACAGAAAGCTAGTGGGATTTCTGACACTGTATTTGAGAAACTAATATCAATATCTGGTTCAATGGAAGCAATGTCCATTTTCAGTGAGTTCTTAGGCGCTCACTAGAGATTTTGGTTCTAATTTTACTTTCAGTGTGCTGCATTCTTGAAAACAGTTGCTTGCAAAAGTAGGTGTTGCCAAAAAGTGACCAAAGTGTGACTGTGAAGGGAGGGACCTTTGTCTCTGGGAAGCTCTGACATATGATAGTCTAGGATCCTAAAGTAACATGTCACATTTTTCTCTAAGGCAAATGTCAGGTTGTAACTCTACACATTCTATTTGAAAATTATCAGGTAACATATTTATGTTGACTGAAAATGGAGTTGGAAATATACCAAAATATTATTTTCCTGAAAATCTGTTTTCAAATTCTTGTATCAAAGAGAAAAGCAAAATTACATATTTTTGCTGTTTACAGGATTGTTTAGCCAACATGTCAAACTGCACAAAATTGTTTGCCTTAATTTGAGTGTGCCACAATTTCATTTTCATTTGGAACCTGCTAGGATTTGAAACATTGTATTGATCAGCTGGTTTCCACTTTACAGGCAGGAGTTCAACTCAGTTAAATAAGCAGTTAAATTGATTAAAAATGCTAAAAATCTATAAGCTAGTTTTCAATATTAAGTTCTGGCACAAATTTTATTTTGATACCATAAACAATTTTCTTGATGTACTGTGCAATGACACTTGGTGAGTTTGGGGTGGCAAACTCAATCTGTTGAGAAAACGGATTTTTTTTTCAATTTTGCTATTTTGTCCTTATAGAGCAATCCTTCATATGCACTGAATTTGGCAACATGCTTTGCATACAGTGCCTTTTCAAATGATCATCTTCAAAAATTTACACAAATTCCTTATAAGCAGACCTCCTTACCATTTGCCTTGACCAAAAATTACTCATTTATCTACTTTTTGCTGAACACTCTTTCTTTAGTTTTCCTTCTTTAAATTCCATTTTCCTTTGAGATGTAGAATCCACGATGGCTTGAAATATAATAATAAACAAGGGTGTTTATTTACTTTTCTAAGTTAATTGACAGGAGAGTAGAAAGCAAGGTTTGGCCACAACTCAGCTGCTGATGAAGAGGGCAGGGCTGATTGATTATGAAGCACCGTGAGTGATTTGTGACACGTCAGAGGTATGGAAGTACCCTTAGCAATCAAATAAGACCTGTCTTCTAAGTAACACTAATCATCTATCGTTTGCAGTCCTAGGTTAAAACAATATTGATAATTGCTTTTCATGAGCCAAGGCACAACACACATGTAATTTCATACGGTGCCAAATCCACTTTCTATGCTTGGAAGATAACTCACTAGAAGCCTCACATCACAGTAAAACCGAAGCCATACACGCGTACGAAGAACGAGGGCTACACATGTTTTACGTGACCTTGTGACATGACGTTCTCATCTATAAATTTCACACTCAAAAACCGAATAGTTAGGTTACAAAAAAGCAAAAATAGTGAAAAGTCCATGTTTTAAGCCTCCAAGTTTTGTATTGGACCTCCTTCATATCTCTCCAGGTTGGACAACCTGGATGTATCTTGGTATTAATATCAGGGCTTGCCTTGCCTGTGGTCCCCCAATAGGCCTGGCTATTCCTTTCTGCTCCTTCTCCTTCCCTTCCATCAGATCTCTTCTTCCTCCTGGGCAGTACCTAGCAGGCAGCACTTCTCAAACTCTAATTGTCTAGGGATCTGGCTGATGTTCAGACCCTGATTCGGGCATCCGGGTTTCTGGCAGGTCCCAGGTGATGTGGATGATGCTGATCCTTTGACACACTGCGTTTAGAGTGGGGACAGATCCACCGCAGGCTTTGGAGACTGTCCTAGGTTCGAATGTGAATTCTTTCACTGGCTGCAAGACTGTGGGAAGGGTAAACCTTTTGTCTTCTCCATAAAAAGAGCAGCTTCCCGCACCAATTACACAATGGGATCATAGAGAGGGCCTAGTAAAATAAGGAGTGTACCAGGAAGTCTGCTCTGGTTGAGTCTGGGGAGCCCAGGGGGGCTGTGGGGGCGTGGCCAACGAATGGGGGCGGGGCGTCGCGACCTTGCGCATGCGCAATCCGGGGGCGCGCGCCTCGGGTAAGAACGCTGCGGTGGCTGTAGTCTTGCGGCTCTTCAGCCATCTTCTTCCCCGCTTGGAGCGGTATTTTGCGTGGTGTGTGAGGGCGGGGGTGTCTTGTGAAATTCTGGAGACCTGGGACTTCCGGACTGTCCAGCTCGCGCGAGGGCCCGGCTCAGGCCGGAGCGTTTCCGGGTCGGCGACCTTGGCGGGCGGGGCTGGGACCGCGGGACCCCGGCTTCCCGTTTATGTGTGGGTGGCCATGTCCCGGCACCGTCATCCTGGTAGGGGTTCGGTCCCTGCGCCGCACGTTTGTGCTAGGCCTGTGCACTGGGCCGGCTTCGCAGACGAGGCTAGCCTCCCTCCCGAGCTGTTCTGGGTGTTAATTGGGCGTAGTCGGAGGGGCCTCTGGGATGTCACCTTGGTGTGTCCCTCGTGCCAGCAAAGCCCGTTTGCTTTACGATTTAGTAGAAATACTTCCCCCAAATGCAGGAATGTGACACAGATGCATGCATTTTTAAGAAAAACGTAAATACTTATGCCGTGTTATTTGGACTAATATTTGAATATCACTTGCAATTAAGCAAGATTTTGCTATTTCCATAAGCTGTGGAACTGACTCCATGCGGTGTCCCCCATTCCCCACCCTCGAACTAATAGTTCTCCGTACTGAGCATGATTGACTTTGTGAGTGATGTGCAGCTTTGAGAGTTGAGGAAAACAACTATACACCTACTCCCCTGCATTTTGACTATATGTTTTTTTTTTAAAACTAATCTTTTGGGCCCTGAACGGCCACATTATCAAAATGCAAAAAGGAGAATTGGAGGAGGGACACAGGATAACATTCCAAGGCTAATCATGATAAAGGAGAGTTATTTGATTTCCTCCACCCTTGGCCTTGTCGAAGGGAGGCAGAAGGCAAAGGAGGAAATGTATGACGTGATACAATGGCCTGTCTGTATAGAGGACAGAGCAGTGGGGCAGGACCACACGGGAAGATAGCAATATGAAGTTCTTGACTTGGAGGTTATAGGGAGGCAGAGTAAAAACTTGGGCTTGATTTCATGTGTTCAGTAAGTCATTCTTATTTGCTATGTAACTAACCCTTTTCCTTGTTTAGTTTTTACTTTAATTCAGAAAGGAAATAAAGACACCTCCCTATTCCAAGTATTGGGGCTTCATGCTAATAAGCAAGTATTGTGTTCCAATGCTGAGCTAGCCCACTAAACACTTTTCTTGAGTAGTATTTAATTATAGGAAGGATTTAAATCATCTAGTTTTGCCACTTATTACAGGGCCATCACTCAATCAGCTTTCAACCCTTAATGGGCCTAGGGACTTTGTATAAAAATGTCTGGGGTGCCTGCTAAAGGAAACTGGGGTGTCATCCTTAGGCTTGCTCAGTCAGAACCTGGAGACTGGGAATTGGACTGCAGGCCAAAACTCAGAAATACACAGTTAAGTATTCAACACTTAGAATAACAGCACCTTAGGAACAAGAACCAGTTTATTAAGCTCACTCTTGTTCCTCTTATCTAGAATAGGCATGAAGTGTGGCTCATACATGATTACTAAAATATCATAAAACAGTAGCACCACTTTGAACTTTCCTGTGTTGGGCCTTTGTACACTGTTTCCATTATTAGATTCTCTCTCAATTCCTAGGTTAGCTGAAAAGTTCATTTATGAACTTCTGCATCTGAGACACTGCAGAAGTCTTAGCTCTACAGCTTTTTTTTAATGACACCCCCAATTCTCTGCTTTATTTTGTCTTGGGCTTTTGGTTTGTCCTGTTCTTGGATTGAAAACCAGTATGTAGGACATAAGTATTGACACTGGAGGGTGGGATTTTCTTTATAATGTGGGAAGAGAAATTTAAACATGATCCTTTGGTTAACTCCAGGATGGCTCGTACCATGGAACCGCTGGCAAAGAAGATCTTTAAAGGAGTTTTAGTTGCTGAACTTATGGGCCTTTTCGGAGCTTATTTTTTGTTTCAAAAGATGAACACGAGCCAAGGTAAAGGGCATTAAGTATTTAATGCTTTCTAGATGGGTATGCAGTTGGCCAATGCATTTGGGGTTTTAAGTGCTAGGGCATTTCTGGACAAAATGTGTCCTCAGATTGGTATTAGACTTTTTTATGGACAGAAGGCAGAGCGAGGTGTTGGTTATTGCAGACAGGTGACTCACATTTAAATTGTTTCCCTTGGGAAAAAAAAAATGTTAACTTATGGCCAGGTGTGGTGGTGCTTGTCTTTAATGCCAGTACTCAGGAGGTGGAGGCAGACAGATCTGAGATTGAAGCCAGCTTGGTTCCTGGATAGCTGGGACTACAGGGAAGATCCTGTCTCAAAAAAACAAGAAAAACCAACCAAAACAAAAAGTTTAATTGTAAACTAAGGGAACTGTTTGAAGCCTCTGGGTTTACTAGGGAAGGGCAGAACAAGTGTCCTTATTCTGGCTCAATCTGGGAACAAGGAGGAAACTTGGCCGGTCCCTTAGCCTTCCTTCCCTGTTTGGAAGACTTAGAAAGAGGTAATACCCTTGGACCCTCAGAACAGTCAGCTTCCTCAGGCTACAGCATCAAAAGTGGGAATTAAAATCTTTGTCCATACTATCGCTGAAACTGATGTAACATTTTGTTAAATTTTACATTAGAGTCCTTGACTTATCAAATTTAAGTACTATTATTTTTTCCTTCCATAACTAAAGCAGGGACTAGTCCTGGGGTAGTGACTTTTTGAATCTTGTCACTTGTCTTCCCCTGTGTACTTCATTAGGACACTGTTTCAGAGTGCTACTGGATATTTGCAAAGTCTAACATTCAAACCAAATGTTTAAAAGGGTACATTTTAAAGACAAAAGAAAATTATATACCATCCTAAAAGACTTAGCTCTTGAATTATCAGAAGGACCATAAAATAGATTTCTAATAGAAGACACTAACACAGTAAGTTGTAGCTTAACATTTCTAGCTGTATGTAATATTCAGACTTCTCTTTTTACCACCAGATTTCAGGCAGACAATGAGCAAGAGATTTCCCTCTGTTTTGGAAGGTATGTTTTTTTCCTTAAGTAAAAATCTGAGTGCAAAATACCTTTTTTTAAGGTATTAAGTTCTGTGGTGGTACTTTATCCTACAGACTAAATGACTATTTTGTGATTATGTCAGTTTCCAACAATATTGTTGCCTCTATTTTAGTTTCTTCTGGGTTTAGTTTCTTCACACAGCAAATTCTTACCTTAGATGAGAGCAGCTAGCTTATGGACCTCTTATTTTAATTTTTTTAATTTAGTTTGGTGGTGATCAAATGCTAGGCAAGGGCTCCAGCATTGAGTTACATGCCTTACCTCCCCAGCCTGGAGCCTTAATTCTTTCAGTGGTTAAATACATGGACTCCAGAATGAGATCTAAGGTGGTGGTGGACAAAAATCACAGCTTAAGGCCCCTATTGTAAAAGATTGTTTGCTTTCTTCAGGTTTACTAACTTCTCTTTCACTACTAGCTGCTACTGTCTGTGAGCAAAGTTAATGCCTATCTCACGAGGCTAAGGGTTGAACAAGAAGATGCAATGTAGTTGCCTTGTATGTTAGTGTTAACTGCTCATCACAGTGAATAGTAGTAGAGTGGTTAGAGTTCACACATGAAACACGAGTCCTACTGTTCTTTTCATACTATGCAGCAATATGGAGATTGTTTTCAATGCAAGTGTAACATTTTTACATAATTTTATAAACAGTTTTTGTTTTGTTTTTATAGTTTATTACAAATCCATTGAATACTCTGGATTGTATGGAGTCAGAGAGAAAGATCAAGAAAAATGGCTGGATAGTAAGAATTAAGGGTAAGTAGAATCTTAATTTATTGTTCACTCTGAAGCTCTCATTTCCTTTGTTTTTTTGTTTTTTGAGGGTTTCTCATCTTTTTGAAATTTTTCTTTCTCTTGATGATACTCTTCACATCTCTGTTGTGTAGCCAGTCATCCCGTTCAGCCTCCCATCTCAGCTGTTTATGACCTTTGAGGAGAAGAAAGATAAGCCCATCCCATAGTAGATTCTAGACTCCTGCAGAGCATCCTACTGAGTGTAACTGGAATTAAGGTCTGTTGTGGCCCATGACCCCACCCACTGTACAAAACCACTGTGTTGCCCCGCTATATTTACTAAGATGAATATCTTATAAACAATACGGGAAGAAAAGGAATATGTACTACAACATTTTTTCTTTTTAGTACTTATTACTTATGAAAGAAAAAAACAGAAGCTAATAACTGTTAAATCAGAAATAATTAAAATGTCTTCAAAGTAACTTTTAATATACTCATAAAAAATAGCCTGTGTCTAATAAAAAGTACTTTTTGTAGTATTTGTTTAAAATGTGTGCACGTTTTAAATGCTTTTTAATCCTGCGTGCACTCCAGGGGGAGAGATTAAAGGGTCTACAAAAATATACACATCTTTTACAATTGCTTTGTGGTACTAGGGATTGAACCCAGAGCCTTGCTGTATGGTAGGCAAGCTTTCTACCACTTAAACACATCTGCAGGCAAATATTATTTAAAAAACTTCTATTACAAATTCAAGTTGACCTGGTAGTGCACATTTGTATTCCCACCACTTGAGAGGCAGAGGATCAAGAGTTTAAGCCAGCCTTGGTGACATGGAAGATTTGAGCCGGCCTGGGCTACACGAGACCCTATCATAAAAAGCAACACAAAACAATCAAGTTACTTACTTGCATTATCTTTGTTAGCCATGGCATTCATGCCAGTGCTATCAAACTTGGATCCCATGTTTTCATCCAACAGATGACCAAACTTAAAAGAAGAGCATGGGGGGAGGTTAGCAGAAAACTCAATAATGTGGAGAATAACTGTCTTCTTAAATCAGTTATGTTAGCCTTACCTCTTCAGCAGATACAAACAGGCTGGAGTCATTGAAACTATTTTTCTTCTTTTTCCTTGACTCTAAAACAACCAAAACAAAATGTGTCTAGTTCAATTAAACATCTAGTGATTTTGGAAAAATGCCAATCTTTGAGCATCATTTTATCTAGTAACTATTTGAGAAAACGTTATCTTTTTGTTCTGACAGGTAGCAGGCAGTTTAGTAAATATAAGTCAGCACACAGAAATTATTGAAAACATAGTATCTTCGAAATTTTCAACTGACAGGAATGTTTCTATTTTTCAGATTTGGTTACTGATCAAGAATTTACCCTTAGAAGAAATACTACAGAACCTGGCAAAACTGAAATTCCCAAGTTGACATGGATGGAATTTGTAATACTTAAGGCAAAAATGTACATTTTAATTCAGAGGTGTTGCTCTTTGGACTTGGAAAAAGTTGATTAAGTAATGTTTATTATCAATGAACTTTTGTTTACACTACTGAAAATAAAGTGTCTGTTAAACTCTTCTATAGTTTTGACTATATCAAGTTAAAGTAGTAAAATGTCTAGGGCTTACATGTAATTGGATGCTTTAAAAATGACTGAAAAGATCATCATCTGGAGATACTTAATATGTGAAAGGAAGATTAGGAACAATAAAAATTGAGGCTGCATGTGGGAAATAATCTACATGTTAAACTATTATTAAACCCATGTAAAAAGTTGCATATGGTGGCCTGTGCCTGCAATCCCAGAGATGGTAGCTGGGAGGTGGAGACAAGGAGACCCCTAGAAGCCTATGGACCAGCTAGCCTGGCCTATGAGGTGATGATGTTCCAGGCCAAAGAGAGAGCCTGTCTCAAACAAAAGGTGGATGGTGCCTAAGAACTGACGCCTAAGCTTGTCTTCTAATCTCCACATGTGGGCTATGATGGCCTCCCCAGCCTCCTTGCCAAAAGAAACCACCAACCACTTTAAGAAAACTTTTCTAAATTTCATCAAACTATTTGTAACAATGTATTTCCTATAATGTAATGAGTAATACTTTTATTAAGGAAGCTGCTTAGGTTTACAGAGATTAAAAGCATGTTCTTACCTTCAAATGACCCAACAAAGTCAAAATCATCTTCACTTTTTCTCTTGCTTTTCTTAGTATTGGCTTTGGGACTGACTTCATCAAATTCTGTCACCCAAAAAAGTTTGCTATTAAGCAGTTTTAAGAACAAGACTGGAAAATATCAACTCAGTGTATGCTAGAATCTTTAGTCCAACAGCAAAGCCCTATACTGCTGTTCGGTAAAGGTTCACAGTTCTACAATTCCAACAGAACAGGCTTCAAGGACACAGTAGGGTGAACTGTCTAAGAGTAATTGGTATGGTTCTGAATTTTATGCAGAACATAGTTTACTAGATGACTTCCTTAATAAGACCTAATAATACAAAATACCCATAAACAAGAAACTGCTACCGCTGAGGTAAATAGCAGGATGCCAGGCAGGTATTCACACTGGAGGTGTGAGAAAAATGAGAGGCAGTTTTTGGTATGCTGAGGATCCAACTCAGTCTCTCTCTTGAAGGGCAAGTACACTACTACTGAGCTGTCCTACCAGCCCTTTATTAATTACCTTAACACTGGAAAGAGGTAACAAGACAGCTCAACAGAAATTATATAGAGAAGCTAATTGCTGATTAAAATTAAAAGTCCAATACTGACGTGTGACTTAAACTTTAAATATGGGAGCCTTTGTTAGCCTAAGACTGAGGAAGAAAGCTATGCTATTTGTGGTTTATTTTTAAAAAACATGTACCTGGAATGCCTTCACTTTCATCATCTAACACATCCATGAATGTTCCTCCATCTTCATCAATTTCAAATTCTTCATCATTCATACTTCCTAAAGAAACTTCATCATCATCCAGGTTACCAAGTTCATCGTCACTACTCTCTGAATCTCCCAAGTCATCCATAGCTCCTTTTGTTTTTTTCTTCACATTGCTGGCAAAATCAAGATCATCCTTTTTAGGAGTGAAGCAGTTTTCATTTTCAAGTGTGTCAATCATCTGTTCAAATTCTTCATCATCAACATCTTCTATAATTTCTTCATCTGTATTCCGTT